CAAGGAGAATGGCAACCGGATGGCAGGGGCGGCAGGGTTAGTTTTATTTATTTTTTTATTGTTTCTTTATTTTTTAAAAACTTTTTGTATCACTTTTTTATTTATTTATTTACTTTTTTTACATTTTTAGCTTATCGTTAACTTTTTTTTTATCTTATTATTGTTTATTTATTTTTTATAAATATTTTCTTATCTTTACAATATTTTTTTCTTATTATATTTTACTTTTTAATCACCTTTTTATATTTTTTTCATGTAATTATTATTTCTTATTTTCTTAATTTTTATAAAAAATATTTTTTCACTTAACTTTATTGCTATCACACAGGAGCTAACAATCCCCCTGTGTGAGAGCCTTTGGAGGTGACGGGTTCTCTTTATTGACCCTGTCACCTCCAATACAGGAGTTCTAGCGCAGCGCTGTGCTGGAACTCCTGTGACAGGTGAGAGAGGAAGAGCGCAGCGAGGCACGGCGCAGCACGGCGCAGCACAGCTCTCTCCTCTCACTGTGTACACGGAGCGGCACGGTTACCTTTAACCTCTGCCGCTCTGCTCACCGCATCGGCGGCCAGTGAGGAAAGACAGTGCTCCCTTCTTACATCTGCTTACCTGCGCAGGTTGTAACGTCGAGAACGCCTCCTACACGGTGGGGATCTGCGCCGAGCGCAACGCCATCTACAAAGCCGTGTCTGAAGGCTGCAAGGAATTCACCGCCATCGCCATCGCCAGGTACGTCCCCCCCAAATCTCCTAAAGTCTACGTGTACCCAAAACTTTTACATGGAAGGCTGAGGACCCCGGTTGGGTTTTACATTGTCACCCTCTCTATATTGTGTTCTGGTGACCACGATCAGCCAGACAGGAAGTGACGGGAAACCCAACATTTTGAGTTGTCACCAGAACAGGAAGAGGGGGGGGAAATCTTCCGATGGGGGGGCACCTGCTCTGGTTATAAAGTTTACAGAAGGGGGTTTTCCTCACTTGTAACAGTGACGTCTGTCTGTGATGGGATTTCCTCTTGTTTCCTGTTGTGTCACCGGGACAGGAAGTGGAGGGAAATCTCCCTAAAAGGCAGACAGGTGATCATTTCAAGCACTTGAGGTTCTCGCCCCTCCGTATTG